CCTATGGCCCTGGGGGGTACAGCCCCCCGGCCGGGGAGGGGGTCCGCCGTGTCGGCTCTGCCCACAGGAACGGCCCCACGAGCGTGCAGGGCAGGCGGACGTCCATCGATGCTGCTGGGAAAGCCACACCGTATGGCAGTGCCGGGGCTGATGCCAAGTACAAGGGGCAGAACGGGGATTTCTCGCCCGCCAGCGTGGTGGCAGCCAGCAGGTACGTGCTGCCCCCTGAGCTGACCCCTTCTCTGTCCTCTGTGTCCCTTTGATTTGAAGGAGAAGAGTGCTGGGCCCTGGGCTGGCCCCAGAGCAGTGCACAGGCCCAAAAGAAGTCGTTGCCCCTTGGCTTGTGCAGTGCCGCCGGCTGCCTGGCTGTGCTCGCTCCCGGCCAGGGTCTCCTCCTGCCGCCGCAGTCTGGGGCCACGGCTGTGGCATGGTTCCTCCCTGGTCCCAGCCATAACCCTGGCACCCATCGCCCTCTCCTCCCCACGTCACTGAATGGAGACAGGAGGTGACAAAATTTGCCCTGCTCCGCTAGGAAAAAAAATAAAATATATAATTGCAATATTGAATAAAAACAAAGGGTTTCCTTGGCTTTCAGTGACTTTCCGCTCTGTTTTCCCTCCAGACCTGCTCATGGCAGCTCGCAGTATGGCTATGGCGGACCCAGCAACACCTTCACGGTCAGGCCCGGGACACGGCAGCCCATCTCCTACGCCTACCAGAGCGGCCACCGATAGGCTTGTCCGCGGGGCTGCTCCGCCGCCTTCGTCTGGCTGGGAAGGGGTGAGAAGGCGCCTGCGTTGGTCGTCTCCTTCTCCACGGGCACCAGGGACAGTCCCAACCCAGCCAGCAAACACACTGCTTGAAACTACTGATGGAGAAGGCGGGGAATGAACCTGGGACTTGGACTCTTCTCAAAAGACTGTCACGGAGCGTAGTTACTACAGAGGACAGGCTGCTGTCTTGTTACGTGAGCAAACGTGGTTTTCCTTTTCCTATCTCCCGCCCCCCCGTATTATTTTCAAAATTGTAGCCTGATAGGTCTTCCAAGAAAGCCAGAAAGCATCCTTAGCTCTCTTTAAAGAGCATCACCACTGGAGAGATTGTTTTCAGTTTGGTTTTTTTAATTGGTTTAAATCCAACATGCTTGGGAGTAGGGAGAAACCAACTGGGAGATGTGCATAATGGAAACAAGCCAGTGTATAGCTAAATGTAGGGGGATTAAAATAAGGATGTGAGGCCAATGGAATAGAGTTTAGGATGTCTAGATCCTGACCTCTTCTGTCCCTACCTCCTCCAATGGCCTTCAGCAAATCAATTATGCCGATGCCTTAAAAACAGCTCCTGGCTTTCAGTGCCTGTCCTGCCGAGCCGGGGGCAGCTCTGCCATGAAGGTCTGAGCCCCCTTCTCCAGGAAGCAACTGGGGGGGGGGCAGCAGCTTCAGGGGTAGGGGCCCTTGCTTTCCTGCACCTTTTGGTCACTGTAAATGTTTCTGTTGGTAATTATTCTTCATGGAAGAAGGCTGTGAGGCCTGGATGGCTGGCTGTAAAGCACTTTGGAGACTTAAGACATTGAGCAATCCTTCTTTTCCTTTATCAGCTGGTGGGTGTCAGCGACCCACCAAGGTGCTGTGCTGGTGGTGCTTTCCTCGAGGGGTCTCTTGCCACTTCATACCCACGTAAACCCCAGCTCTAAAAGCGAAGCCACGGAGTCCTTATAAACTGTTGTAATGAGAACTTGGCTTTAGTTTGTCTGATTTGGGGGACTAAGAAGCTAAATTTTGGTGTGATTGTAGAGTATTCGATGCTCCTGGTGTGTGGAATGTCTGCAGTGACATACCTAAGGGACCTGGCTCCTGCTGTTTCCATAAGCACTTGTCGGGGTGCTGGGCGTGCGTGCAAGCCTGTCCCTGCTTCCTGCCAGTGCCTCTCTGAAGGAGCTAGTGATGGCTATGCGGTTGGGTGGGAGATCTGAGTAGCCTTAAAGAGGGTATTTTATACTACAGAGCGAGCAATACAGTTTCACGATAGCTGACCAAAGTTTTGAATAGCCAACTTCCTGAAATTAGAAATATATAATCTTCCTTATAGGTAAACTTGCTGAAAATCACTGTAAGATAAGTGTAAAAACTTGTAGAGAATGTTTTCTAATCACTGACAAACTAAAAGCACTTTGAGACATTAGTCTACTTTTATGGAAAGCACTTTCTATTTTCAATACTACGCAGTATCATTAGTTCCACTCCAGCTTATCCTGTATTGCACGCACGTGTGTATGCGTGCATGTAAGCAGATTTTGCTCTACAATTCAACTCAAAATTCAGCGATAAATTTTCCTTCATGGTGGAATTTTCAAGAGTTATCTTGATATTAATGTCATGTTGTTGACATTCTATGTTTTATGTTACTTCCAGCTTTATCTAATAATTTAAGGGTTGTTTCAAATATTGCAGCAGCATCAAAGTATTCTGAACTGTACTTTGCTGTGAATAAAATGAAAACGCAAATACCATTATCGGTCTAATAGCTAATTCAAATGGCATTTTTATGCCAGTAAGTCGCGGTGACTTGGAAGATTTCCAGACATGCTCACCCCAGCCAGTATTGAAATAGCGTTTTAAATATCTGGGTGCTGGTTTTTAAAAAACATTTATGGAGAAAAGTGACTATGGAGTAACTATCCAGGTATTTAAGTGTGCCAGTGTCATGTAGAATAGCCCCCCTGCCTTAAAACATGGAAGTTTCTCCATGTGAGGAGCATCTTGAGGATTCTTACTGTCTATGGAAGTAAAGCCATGATCCTGTTTGAGTGGCTTCAGAGTCATGTTTTAGTACTGGATGAAGTTTCACCAGTTTAACTTGAAACAAAACAAAGAAGCCTCTCTGATAATATTGCAACCTAATTGTTTTTTCTTCCTGATACTTTTTTTTCAAAATAACTTCTAACTGCAAATTAATTCTCAAAAGCAGTTTTAAATTTAAAGGCTTGTTGGGAGACTTTGGCCTTCAAGATCGACTTTGCCCAGAAATGGTGTGTGTGCAATTTTCCCCCTCAAGAATTCTCCTAAATTTGAGCATATCCCCAACACAAGTTTCTTTTTTTTTTTTTTTTAAGAGCACAATGTGAAACTACAATGGTGACACTTGCTTTGAATTTCAGATTTACTGTTTCACCCAGACACACAATTCATATGTAGTTGTAATATGGTGTTACATAGCGTGGAGTATCTTGTTTCTAGCAGATGTGTGTTTGTTTATATTAAATATTAGAAGCATGATAATGTAAGTCAGTTTTATGAAATAGCCATTATTCATTCAAAGAACACCCATTCTGGGAATGCATAGTGGACTAAGCTGTAACTAAATCGGGTAGGACTCTGCTCACACTTGTAAAACTGGTTAGCGTGAATGTTTTAAGCAGCGGAACTATTCTATTCTTTAAACACTTTGGGCTATCCCTGCTTATTTTGAATGCATTAAGCAAAATTCTAGTATTTCAGTAACAACTAGGCATTTATGCTGGGGCCACTGGGAACTGTTTGTGTTACAAAGAAACCACTGTCAGAGCTGTTGGCAGCCAAAGCACTTACGGAGAAAGTTAAATCCGTAATGAAGAGCAAAGACCTCTCAGCTGCAGGGATGGGGAAGAGTTCCCTCTTCCTTGGTCAGGTAACTGTCAGGACAGCACGTAGATAAACTCTATTCCGATTCCCATTTCTGCTCCTTCTCCCCAGCTCTGTTTCACTATATAAATTTAGCAATAGAAGAGGAAGAAACTGAGGGGTAGTAATGGAGCAAAGCAACCTGCCTTATAGCCCAGTCTTAGTGCTGAAAGCAATCTTGAAGCCTGGCAATGGAATTATTCTCACTTCAACTCTCTGATGCAGTTTGGGCATTCAGGTCTTGATACAACTTAAATTACCCCCTGCAGCTGCCTCTTCCTCAAAAGTACCTGCTAATGTAGTATAACTGATAGCTTTACTTGTAAAGTGTCCAAGTGTCTTATTTATGAGCGCCACTGAACACCAACCTTCTTGCATTAAATATGTCTGGACATATTGTTTTATTACACGTGTGGTCTGTCTTTATTTAGTGTTGCTTAAGTGGTTCGTCTGCTCCAAGATCGAGATCTCTGCATGTAAGATTAAAAGGACAGGAAAATGTAGCTCAAACTGGCCTCAGCAACAGTCTGAATTTCAGCTTACCTAGGGCTTGGTCCAATTTCTATTTACCAGTTGTTGATATAAACCCTGTGGCAATTTAAGTGTTTTTAGAAGCCCAATCAAGGCATGAATGGGCAGCTAGCCCTAACTGCCCTGGCACTCTGCAAACACCCCTCACATCCAGCTGGTTAGGCAGGCTGGCAAAGGAGCCTGTGCAGTTCAGCCTGTGCTTCTATAAATAGTTCTTGGGTTTGAGCTTTTCATTAGTAAAGAAACTTGCATACTTATTTGCAAGTCCTAACTCGAATGTTGTACTTAAAATTGAAAATACTGTGTGAGCAATACAAGCGGCAACATAAAAGGCAGGCTTGTCTTCATAGTGGCTTATTCTCTCCACTCCTCAAAATTATACTTATTTACATTCTCACCTCTTTAATCCAGCTCTGGCTACAGAACCAGGTTCATCGGGAGGGAAGCGTGCAATGTGTATCTTGAAGCTTTTACTCTAGCCACAATGTAGTTATTGAAGCATCCCCAAACGTGAACGGCATGTAAAGTAGTCCAGACAGTGTGAGCGTATCGCAAAACCCAGAGAATTCTCCAATTCCTTTGCAGAGAGCTACAGTCAACAAGCTTTGGTGTGGTATTGCCAGTGTTTCTGCCACGCCGCCTGCCTGTTGGTGGGACTATTTAATATGGCCTTGCTGGTACAATCAGCTAGGAGCCAAGCGAACACAACATGAGTGACTCCTAGATAAACTGCCACTCTTCTGTGCTTCTCTTACGATGGCGAAAAAACCAAGTGTAAGTGGCTAAAAAAAAAATAGATACTTTTTAAAGAAATGTCCAAACGTTTGGGGGAGATGCTGCCTTGCCGCTTGTCAAGCTGGCAGCTGCTGCCCTCCTGTGGCAGAACATAAACCTTCACCCAGATGCTGAAACGTTTGGGGTTTTTTTTTTGTGCTGCCACACTAAAAGTCTTTCAGCAATTGTAAAAGAACAGGATTAATATATCGATAATGACCTGTTGTTGATCTAGGCTCCACCTTCCACCACCATGCTTTTTGCCATGGACTGTTGTGTTTTGCTCACAGGGTGGCAATGTGAGGAACTTCACGTGATTCAATACTTGACATTTGAAACTCCTCTTTTTAGCTATGCACAATGGAAAACCTACTTCAAGTTTTGGAAAGAAAAGCTTCCTGAAAACAAGCAGGACTGACTTACAGCCTGCCTTGCACTAGTGCTGAAGAATCATAGGACCCTAGCATTAAGCAGTAATACGGTGCATATTTATTTAAGAACGGCTTTAATTTCAGGGACTGAAATCACAACTTCACTGGAACTGTGTGAATGATCTCAGCTGGCTCTTCAATACTACAGAAGTGGCCCAGTGAAACTTATACCCAGGTACAAATGAAAACTATGATTTATTTAAAAACCGTCTTCCACTTTTTCCAAGACAACTTTTTCACAAACAGCACAAGACCTATTTCAGTTTTCAGTACACCATCAGAGGTCCATAACAGGTAACTTTTTAGTTGTTCGAGGGGTACTTTTGAAGAAATGTGTCAGTTTTTATAATCATTTACCTTTTCCTTGTCATACACTGCCCTAGATCAGGATGTCTGCTCTGTAAACACCTTTATGACACGGGAATTGAAAAAGCAGCAAATGAGGTTTAGAAAGAGTATGAGAAAAGTACAGAGCCTGGGAAAGCTTAGTCTGCCTAAAGATTAATTGTGGGCTCTGCATAATTTGGATCAGCTAAAACCTATGTTTATGCAGGGATAAGCCCACTGGAAGTGGTGTATGTTTTAGTGTTGCTATCATGCTAAAGAAACAGGAGTAGCATTCATCTCAATAGTATTTTTTGTTTCATTAGTCAGGACCTGCTTTATACTGTCTAGGAAATATTAGGCCAGACCAAGCCACATCTAGAGCAGTGGCAATGCATGCAGAGCAATGATTTTTTTCAGTTAAGTATGTTCCAGGGAAACAGTTTAGTTTGAAAAGTATGTGGTATATTACAAAAAACACCTCTAAGGATTATATGGAGTCTGTTTTGGGGATTATGGGAATGCTTGGTCCCCTCAGTCTCCAGCACAAAAAGCCACTCATCACAAGTGCATAAGGAGTCTCATTTATCACTAAGCAGTCTGTTTATAGGAGCAAGCAAATGAAAACTGAAGTCCTTAGTCCAGTTTTTCCCTTACATAAACTTTTGTTCACAGGCCTTACCTTTGAATAAGTTGTCTTCAGCACAGAGGAGATGGAACATGGTGTCAAACAGCACAGCAACGGCTAACTGCTCTTGGCTTTCAGCATGCTGCAGTAACAGCCCCTTTGAGCTGGCCTCAGCTGCAAGCCAATGCTGAGCATCAGAGGTCCCAGTATTTCAGCATGTGTCATGCACTATCACAAAGGTGTTTTAATTACAGGGCTACAGCTGGGATCCTTATCATACAGCATACTTGACTTCTCACACCAAGCACTGGTATCCCAGTGATACCCATCAAGGGAGCAGAAGTGCACAAACAGTGCTCACCATAGGATCCACACTAGTAGGTACTGAAGACCAGCCCTCTAAACCACATGCTGGCAATGAGACAGCAGTGGAACCCTTCTAGCTTTTAAATGCTAACCCATCTTCCCATTCAGTTGGAAGAATTGATTTACATAGCAAAGAGCTTTGCTCAAGGGTGAGGCTCTCGCATCCAGCTAACAAGAGGTGGTGTTTTTAACCTCCCCAAAAATGTTTCTATTAATTCCATGGATGGTTTGGAGAACTGAGGGAGGAATCGAGTCTTTTTGATTTTTTTTATTATACCTAATTCCCTGTCTCTCCAAGTCTCCTCTGTGCCTGAAGTAAATTTTTTTTCTGGGTAAAATACTGAAGTCTTATCACAGGTAAAGCCAACTCCTGAGGAGAGGGTAAAGCTTGGTTTGTAACTAATTTATGCCTAATTCAAAATTACTACAGGAACCTTCTTAGTCACAAGCTTCAAGGCAGACAACAGACCATACCCACTCCAGTTCACACACGCCTTTGACTTCAGCACAATCAAAGTAATGCCAGGAAGGAATTTGGACCATGAGTTTATAAAACTATTCTTTTACACAGTTGACTCCAGAAGCTTCACCAGTTGGTATGGGGACAGTGTGATGTAAAACCTGATGATCCCATCCAACTGTAGTGAGCAAGGCATTGTCTGAAGGAGACCACGATAAGCCTTTTACAAAGTCTCGATGAGAACGGTTTCTGAACCTGGAAAACATGAACACTCCATTAGCCATAAAGCATTGTCACTAAGAGTTTATGGGCTTGTGCAATTCCTAACTGCTAGTTTGTTCGGATGATGCTCCCCTATTTAAGGAGTGTTCTCATCTTCCACTCAGCATACGGATAAATAATTAGCTTAATGAGAAGTCAACAAGACAAACGGCTACAGTAGTGAATACATTCTGTCTAGTACTTACACCTCTGAGAGGTCTGAGTCAAGAACAGCTACTGAACAGTCTTCACTGATTGAAGCCAGTAAGGGTGAACTAGAGGACAGAGATGAGACCACGATTAGAACAATCAAATACAAGAAAGCTGCTTAGGGATAACCTTGCGAAAAGCACATTTCTTAGTGAGCCTGACCCAGGTACAGTGAATTAACAGATACCAAATCTTACAAAAATTTTTTCATCATCATTTGGCAGGTTGCCAGCACACTAAGCGAGAATATTCTATTAGCATCGGAAAGCAAGTAATCCTTCTTCAAGCAGAGGTGACTGTAATTAGAAAAATCCCCACAGTGAGTGGGTCAATAATTCTGAATGCTGCAAGAGCGTTCTTATGTACATTCACACACTCCTTGTCAAAAGTGAGACGTTGTTTTGTTTACTCTATTCTTCACTATCGATCTTGATAAAAAGAACAAAACTAGTACTCATAGGTTTTACTCTAAAAACAAATAAGGCTTTCAAGTGTATGTAGACACACATTCTATGCCAGTATATCAGACTGTACCTATGTGTAGAAAATGCAAACCCCGTGATACTTCGGGCATGCACAGCAGAGCTGAGAGCAGAATCAGGATTCTTTGTGTCTACTAATGCAACTGTTCCATTTTCATCACCTTTAAGAGAGGAAGGGAGAATGAGGTTATTAGCAAAATTGTCATGTGAAAAGGAAGACCTTGATTTGTCTGGTTAAAGTCAGTAAGATCACTCCTTACCCAAAGCAAAGATGTCACTTTTCTGTGGATGCCACATGACTGAGGTAGGGAGGTGATTACAGGCACTGCAAACTGCAAGTAAATAAATTAGGATGAGTGTGAAAAGAGACAGTACAAAGATATTCCTACGCTATCTTAGTTAGCACTGCTACTGCACTAAGACAAATATTTAAAAGCTTATTGTACTTCTGTGATAGTATTAAACTTCCTTAGGTTTTAATAGGCTTTTTCTGCCCAAATGGTCAGATCGCTAGATTTGAAGTTAGACATAGTGAAGTCAGGCATAAAATAATTTATTTCTTCCAACAAAAACTCATACGCAAGTAGTGACTGCATACAGAAACATACCAATTCGAGTAGCTGGTTTCGGGCATCTGGTGTCCCAGAGTAAAGTTCTGCTGTCCTATAAATCCAAAGTGAATGAGAAGGTTTCTACAACTTCTTTGTGGCAGGGCGTAGGCATAACTCAGATTCACTGCAGAACCGCCACTGACCCACATTCAAACCCACACCACCTCTTCCTTTGTGTTAAAAATGATGCTGCCATCAACTGCAAGTTAGCTCCTTCAGTCATCCCCAGGACAGTGCTGGCAACTCCCACATTTTAATACAAACCTGTAGAAATCAGCTTGGTAAGCCGATTGGCAACTTATCAGACTGGAACATTGAAATAACACAGGTACGCAGCTTGTGACACAACAGGTGGTTTCTCAGTAAGTGCACTTAACTGTAAATAACTAAAATATCGCTTTTATTGGGTAGATTTAGACAGAGAGCGAGCTTTACCTCAGCACAGGACAGGAACACAGTGTCCTTACCAGGACAGGAAGCCACACATGTCACTGAACCGGAGTGAGCTACCAAAAGCACAAAAGGATAAAGAGCCTCAAAGATTGTATCCAACTTTCCCGCATATTCCCAAGGACCGCTGAAGGCACAGCAGTGTAATAAAGAATAGTTTATGCCCAGATACAGGGTTAACTTCTACTCAGCAATAGCCAACTGCTTCCTCCCAAACTGATGAGCTGCCAAATCCAGAGCCACTGCAGTCAAGTCCCCGTGACATGCATAAGCTTGGGGAAGCCCCTCCAGACAGGTCAGTTACAAAGGGGCCGGGGGGAGAGGATCAAACAAAATATGGCCTCTGCTGTGGCTAGAGATCACAATACCACATCTCCTGAGACTGGCACCTCCAATGAGCTGTTGTTCGAAACAAATACGGGTTAGGAGATCACACGATCGTATGCAGGTGGAAGAAAGATTTCAGTACAGAAAAAATACTCTAAAATACTCTTAGAGATGCAAGGCAAACTAAGCCTTATAGCATTCATTTTGTGAGGACAAATGAACAACAGACAAAGAAATAAGGCTGTGCTGGAAACTCCACAGACTGGCAGACATTCGATCACGGCCCCAAGTGTGGTTTGGCAGACAGATAACCAGCGATGCTGCTGGACTGAGCTCAGCCTGCAGCAACCGGCGAGGGGCCAGGAAGAGCCGGGCGATGGGGCCGGTGTGGCACTCACCTCTGTAGGAGTGCAGCACCGTCTGCTGTGGGAGGTCCCAGACCTTCACGCTGTGGACAAGAGCGAGCAGTCAGCACCCGGCACCGGCCCTGGCGCACGGCCGCTGGGCTGGGGACACTCACCAGAAGTCCCTGCCGCCGCTGACAGCCTGGGTGCTGCCGGCC